ATCTAATTATTTTATATCAGCCAGAAACAAAATCAAAATTTTATTGTGGCGAGGGACAAAAGGCTGAAGCTAGTGAGTTTCATCTGTACAACAAGTACAAATGAATCATCACTATTCACTCACATAGACCTACGTTTGGAACCATCGGGAAAATGGCAGTAAAGATCAGCAAAGTGATACACAATTGCAAGACTAAAAGGAGGAAAACTGTCAAGTAACAGGCTAAGCGAACTATACCTGCATTTTCAATGAAACCCTCCCATTTTTCTGCATCCTGGACATTGATGATCAGATGCTCGGGTGCATACAAGTTTGAAAAAGAGACTGCCTGAGACAGCCATCATCATGTCTAATTTCAGGATCACGCAGAACGTCTCAAAGAACATACAGGTAAACAAAAATGATGTGTTGTAGACATGCAGATACAAAATAGTTGTCATTTTTGTTTTACAAGAAGCGATAGCAAACGAAATAGTTGTCATAAAAATACTAAAAAGAAACACTTTTAATCAAATGCACCAACTGAGATAATACAATATGGATAAAAATAATGAGGACCCTTAATGTTGAGAGCCAAATAAACTGAACCAGTAGACAGCAACAATGCAATTCTAATTTTCCATGGAAAAGGAATGCTGAAACAAACATTGCACTTTTGACACCATTTCACAAAGCACATAAAATTCAGCTCCATTGACTAATATAAAGAGGCAACTTAAGGACTTAACCCTAGGCCGTTATTTCTCCTTTCACGTCCAAGATTAAAGTGTTCTAATCCTAGATCTAACGACCCAAGATTACCTTCTTAAGTTGCCACATTACTGACTCCTTACTAGAGCAAGATTGTATCCATAATACGATATTTTCGTTGAGTTCTGTAGACTCTGCAACCTCTCCAAGTAATTTAACATTTGATGAGATGAATTGTATGCTACAAATACCCTGACACTAGTCACTATCCTCCACCGATTTCCACATGTGATTCCAGTGATGTACATAAAAGGACTTCCTAAATTTGGATAGGCATATCATGTCAAGATGCAAGGACAAACCTCAACCATATCCCGAGCGAACACTGTGAAACTGTGGCTCAGTGCTTTTGAAGCAAACTCTCCCCTTGGTAGGCTTTGGCACTGTTTGCTGATTTCCTCTTCTATAGCTTTAACATGCCACACCATCCCCAGCAATTACAAGAACAACTTGACTATCAGGACCATGCTCAGCCTGAAATTGCATTGGTTAGTTATGCCCGTTGGCCGCAAACATTCCCAAAAACTATATAAAGCATCCATATTTCATATAATGCACTAAAAGTTCTGTAACAAATAACAATGTGCCTCATTATACATCTTATAACATCCAGCTTGAAGTCACTGCAGTAGACTAAAGTTGAATCAAAGCCTATATCTTTAAACCTGTAAGTGTCTAAATTGTATTGAGTTAAAATACCCAGTATGATTATGCAGCAAGTTGTAACTAAATATCTAGTTCTCTTACCAAATGTTAAATTATGAAAGCGATCAATCACAAACTAAGAGAGGCATTGCAGAAAAAGGAAGCACCTGAGAAAGCAAATCAGCAGCTATATGAACAGGACTGGCATGTTTGTCAGCAATGACCAAAACTTCTGAAGGGCCTGCAGGCATGTCAATTGAAACCATGGCTTCGCTGTTCTGTTAACAAAATCAGAAAGGGAAGTGGGGCGGTCAAATCAAGATGGTAAATGCAATGAATCTCCCTTAACTCCCATGTTTCAGCTTCTCTAGAAGTTATGCAAAGAACTTGTAAGTATATGTACCTGGAGAATCATTTTTGCAGCGGTGACATATTGATTTCCAGGGCCAAATATTTTTTCAACCTGAAAATTATTTGAAAACAAAAATTAAATAAAGAAGAGCAGATTATTACAACTTACAAGTTTTGAGAAATTTGAGAAGATAAGTGAAACTTCTAAGAAACATAACAACATAATAGCTAAGTTAACTTCAGTCCTCTGCTTTATAAATCATGCTCAGAATATATGAGCTAATAATTTGGTAACAAATATAAGGCATAGCACAAATATCTGGAAAGTTACAAACAACACAACAAGATAAAAGGGAAACTAACACCTTTGGGCAAGATTGCGTACCCCAAGCCATAGCAGATATCGCCTGTAAATCACAAGAATTATCAGATTACTGTATGTGATAAAATACACGTAAGTAGGTTTTCGGTGTTTACAGACCTGAGCACCACCAGCTTTAAGGATGTGAGTCACACCAGCCTTCTTAGCACAATATAGTACTTCCTGAGGGGCAAAACATAAATGATCAGCTCTCATTTTGGAATCCTCTCATAATGCATTCTGTAAAGAATCACCTTGCATATGGTGCCATCCTGACTTGGGGGAGTTGCGAGAACAACAGTTTTACACCCAGCAATCTGTGCAGGCTGGTATGCATAATAAAGCATATGTCCATCAAATCTTTATGACTTGATAATTGAGAACCATGATAAAGATCAAAGGATGATACATGACCAAAAGCAACTTTTGCAACAAAAATGATAAAACTTACAACAGAAAGCATCAGAGCTGTTGAAGGTAAAACTGCAGTTCCTCCTGGAACATAAACACCCACAGAACCGATGCTTCTTGCCACCCGTTTACATTTGACACCCTGAATGGTTAAAGATGCTTAAAGACTCTGGGTATATAGAAAAAAAGCAAGCTGCAATATGGACTTACCTTCATGTTCTCAACACTTTTCTCAGCTGATTTCTGAGCAAAATGAAATGCATATATATTGTCATATGCCACGTCAAATGCTTCTTTAATAACTGCATCAAGCTGCATCAGAAAAATATCAGAATTCAATACATAAAATGAATATCTTGTATCCAGAAAATATGTCAACATAAAGATACCTCAGGATCTGGAAGCTCGGATACTTCTACAACTATATCATCCAGTACAACTTTGTCAAACTTTGCAGTATACCTGTATGAGAGAAAAATAAATAAAGCATATTAAAACAACAAAAAAATCATTAGCAAAATTGCTGAGTAGAAAGGCATGCTAATAAATATAAAGTCATAATAAATCATAAAATGATAAAAAGGGATTAATGAAGTACGTACTTCTTAACTGCAGCATCGCCTCTTTTACGAACCTCATCAACTATAGGGTTGACCTGACCAAGAATAGCTACTGCATTTTTTGAGTTCATGTATGAAAAAAAAAATTGTCAAGTTCTTAAACAACAGTCAGGATTTGGGAACAGAAGGGCTCACCGTGCTGAAAATTGAAGAAAAATCTATTCGAGGACGAGCTTTTAGGCTTTCAACCTCAGGTGGGGATAGTTCAGATAACCTGTAAGACTTCATTGAGCAAGTTATCCCCTTACAAGCAAACCCTGACCAAACAGTCAACTTTAGTAAATCAAGAAACGAAGTAGTAATTCCTCTGAACTATATAAATGTCTTACATTTCGCACACTTTATTTGCACGTATGCACATAAACGGTTCAAATGAAACAAATTTAAACTTTTTAGTTTTTAAACCACTGAATAGGTTTTAGTATGATTCGTATTTTCAATCCAGCTATCAAAAATTCTCTAAAATCGTGCGCAGCAGTTTTACCAAATTTCGAGTCAACTTGATATCAACAAGCACAATATTAACTCAAATACAAAAAGTTACAGAAATCGAATCAACTCAATCAAGAAGGGTCAATCTCTAGTACAAAAATCTATAAGAAAAAAACCAACTTTGATACAATACAGACAGAACTCTCAGAGATATCGAATTGACTCGAAATTCGACATACATGGTGAAAATAACTACATAATCACATTCAACGTGAGTAAAATTTCAATCTTTCAACTGACCACTATAATTTGACACCAAAATCAAAGGAACGAACTGCAATTCAGCGAAAGAAACCGAGCAATGATGGATTCATACCTCGCCGGAGAAAAAGATTTCGGCTTTTCGGGGCGGCAATGAGCGGATGCAATTGTCGTTTGATGAAACAGCTGCTGCTGCTGATGCTGATGCTGCGATTAAAACACTGAATCCGACTGTCCATCATAACCGCCTTCACTAAGACCAGCTAAATTAATACACAAATGTAAAAGGGAAAAGAAAATTCTCTCTTATTTTCTGTTTGGGTGGCGAGAAAATGCGAAGAAACGAAAAGAAAATTGACAGTTTTGAAATTATGCACGTGGTGGCAGAGGGAGGAGGAGAAGCTGAAGATTTACCTGCAAAGTGGAAAGTTAGCGCGCGCGACGGCGGTGGGTGACGGACTGAGCGTATGGGCGGCCACTGGTTCTACTAGCTAATGCGGAGTTGGAGTGGGCTGGAACAAAACCGGGTTTTAGTTTTAATGGGCCACAGGCCCAAACTTCCCTCCCCAGAGATTGGGTTAAGAGTTCAGCCTATAACCAACCGGAACCAGACCGAAATTAAAGAAAACAGTTGTGTTATGTTATTGGACGGTCAATTTAATTCAAGGCGGCTCAAATTAATGTTCGGACAAAATGACGGGAAAGCTTTGCTCCTGAAATAATTGGGTTCAAACATAAGGTATGTTTGATAATCATTTTTATTTTAGTTTTTCTGTTAGAGATAAATGGAAAGTATAGAGAAAAAGAGGGATGACAAGAGTAGAGAAAGGGAAAAGAGAGAAATGGAGGTGAATGTATAAAGCAAAAAACTTTAAAGTTTGTTTTCAATTTTTTGTTTTTTATTTTCGATTTTCATTTTGTGTGTGTGTGTGTGTGTGTGTGTGTGTGTGTGTATATATTTTTTTTTTTTTCAAATGATAAATTTTGTATATTATGCTATATGAATTTCTACTACTTAACTCCAGTGTGGTTTTAAGAAGAAAAAAGAGAAAACTAAAAACATAAAACGAAATGATTATCCGTAGTTTTTCACTAGCTGACTCAAAAGAAATAATGAATGCAGATCCATATCAAAATTTATACTCCAACATAATTGAAGAAGCAACAAGTTATTGATACCTTCCTTTCTTCATACTTTGTATCAAAAAAACCCCTTTTACATACACAAATCTTGAAGCAAAAATATCACACTGAGATGGAAACAAGAGACTGAAAAAATTTCCAAAAATCCCCCAAGTACTGCTATATAAGACTGGTTCTGATTCCTCATGGACTATCCTGAAATTCAGTTATGTCCTGGAAACTCTGCAACCTTTTTCTCCTGCCCGCCTTGGGAACTGGGGATGATGAACTGATGTAATCTACTGATTCTCGATTCTGCTGCCGATCAAATTGCAAAGAACGGCGCACTGCAGAATTCCTTGGTGAACCAGCATTTCCGGATATAACATTTTTGTCTTTAAGATCAACTGATTCAAGCTTTGAGCCCAGACTTTTCACTTGTGCTTGCAGACAAGGACTTTCAGAGGGTATGTTACAGTTCAGGTTTTCATTGTTAAAGTCAAAGTATTCGGTGCTTCCATTAAACAACTCTTGTTCTTCTTCTTCAGCCATATCTGCCCAACTTTTCTTACCACAACTGTACATTGAAAGATCAGGACCCTGCTTTTGATTTTCTGCTACGGGTTGCTGGACCTCATCTATTTCACCAGAACTGTTCTCTCGGAAGCAGCCTTCCACAACAATCCGTTCCATGCTGCCTAAAACAGTTGTATCAGAGCTCTGATTCTGACCTCCATCAATGACAATATCCAGTGCTTTTGCATTTTCACCTGCCATTTGTGGTTCTGCAGATTTCTTGATACCGCCGTTTTCCCAGCTGGCCTTTCTCCAGTCTCCGTTCACAGTATTCTTGGAAGAACTGACCACAGTTTCTTTATCTTTCAGTTGGAAACAGCCATCACTCACCCGAGAGGTATCCTTCCAATTTCCACTTGACATAGGTTGCAGAACAGATCGTGCTGCTACACCTCCTTGGGGCCTCCTCAAATCTCTGCTAATTGGTGAAGACAAACTAGACACCGAGTTGTGAACTGCGACTTCTGACTTTCCAACAGTTGAAGCTGGCAAATCTTCAATGAGACTTTGAACAGCATGTGCTCGCACGTTTTCTGTTTTTAGACATCGGTCAAATGAGAGTTCCCTCCTCGGATGTCCACCATTAAATCCCCAAGGAGATCTTCTTGGTTGTGAAAATTGAACTTCCGGATCCCATATAGCAGGAGCTGGAGAAAAATATGTCTTTGCATTTGGAGTTGTTTCTGCTCCCACTGTACCACCCTGATTATCCTTCATTCTGCTGGAAAAACTAGACCTGCTCTCACACAGGTTTTTGAAATAACGATCTTTCTTCCATTGATCAACAGATAGATTCTCTTCTTTGCGTCCATCTTCCCGCCTTCTGGAGAACATGTAAGATCTTCCATCCTGTTGAATTGGTCTTAAAACTGATTGTGCCTCTAGTTCGGTCAGCATTTGATAAGCACGCTCAAAAGACTTGGCATAAGATTCATCCATTGGTTTACTTCCAGATGAATCTCTTACAACTTGAAGCAGATGTTTTGCTTCTGTAAATCTGTTCATGTGCATCAAGCAGATTGCTAAATTGCATTGCTTGTTCTTATCCGGTTCCAATGACAGAGCTTTCCTGAGATTTTTTACGGAACAGATCATATACATATATAAAAATACATCGTTTCACATGTAGGAATATAAAGCAGGATGTGCAGAAACTTACAAGTAATACTCTTCGGCAGTTTTGTAATCACCTTTCTGCAAGTAAGCCCAGGCCAAGTTCCCTAGTATTCTGCATTGATAGAGAACCGAAGTCATCTAATTATGCAGAACTTTGGGGACCAATTAGTAAGAAGAACGAGAAAAGCAGCGAATTTCACCTTGCTCTCTCTTGTTCAACAGTAATTTGAACCTTCCTCCCCTGAGCTCTTGCAGTCTTTGTCCTCCTTCCACAAAAAGCTATACCTTCGTCAATGTGTTTCAATTTGGACTCGAGCAATTCAATCTCTTCTTCAATCCTTCCTGACCTCTGCAAAACCGATAAATGATAAACATACACAGACACGCACAAAGAGAAGCATATGAAATTGCGATAACCTTATTGCAACAGGTTGATATGCCTCAAATTATGATAGAATATTCAGCAGTACGATGTAGAAATAGATGCTAAGGCATTCTAGAAATAAATATTCGGAAATAAATACATTGTTGATAAACTATCATACATATATTCTACCGATATAAAACAGGAGAGAAAAGTGAAAGGGAGCAAATAAAAGGGTCACGAGAGAGGAATTTCCGACGTTTAATTTACACTGCAAGTCTGCCTAGAAAAGTTACAAGAAGGCCTACTTTTAGCCTCTTAGTTGCCTCAACATATCACAAGAAAAATTGTAACCTAGTTCTAGACTGCTAAAGTTCCTACTTTCAACTCACATTTGAGCACTAATCTTTCTTAAAGTCTTGCATATCATGTGTAAAATACGTTTGCATCTCCTACCATGATTGTGTTGCAACTGCGTATTCAAACAAGGAGATAACAAAATATAAGTAATTTGTCGTAGAAATGGAGGTGCTTTACCTTGTACAGTTCAACTAACACATTGTTAAGAGATTCCTGAGAATCATACGGGCAGAGATGACGAAAAGATTTGATAGCTTCAATAGCCTCCTCCGCTCGATCCAATTGTTTCATCACAACTGCCATGTCTTTCAAGGCACTATCAACTCGATCCCCGGCATTTATAGCTGCCCAGAAGAGGGATATGGCTTTGCCTGGATCCTTGTCTATCAACTGCATTCGAAGAAATGCAAGTCAATCAAATACATATAACAGTGAGGAAAAATAAAAGAACCTTGATCATGCAATTTATATCAACCCGAAAAAATCAAAACGGCTACCTTCTACTTTGTATACCCAAAACCTAGTAACTTTTGTCTGCAACTCTAAGGTAATCGCAGTAAGAAAACAACCAATTTCTCAAGAACAAAAAAACTTAATTATTCACTTCTTTTTTTTATCTTAACAAATTGCAAGAAAGATATTCCAATATAATTTCCACCAATTTAAGGAACAAAATTGGCATCTAAATTCTTACTTTCCAGGAAAAAAAATCATCAGGGGAAACCAATGAACAAGAAAGAAGAACAGTAGCTAATTTTGAAAAATAAAACCCATAAGAAAATTTATACCAAATTACCCATAATAAAAGTTCAAACTTTCTTACCTGAACTTGTTTGGCTCTGACGTAGGGAGAATCGCCGGCAGGTACTTTATGCACAACGCGAAAAAGATCATCTTTGTCCGAAGGCGACATTCTCTTCCTCTCTGACATCGGCACCGCCGGAGGGGTTGGCGGCGCCGTCTTCCATGTCGCAGGCGGCGTCGAGAAGCCTCTTGTGCCGAAGTTCTTGTCTCTGGTCCACATTGTCCTATTACAGTATTACTACGAAACAAAATATATGAAATTACCCAGAAAAATATCACTTTCTCGGGAAAATCCTGAGACCCTTTTTGTGAATATCTCCAAGAAAGGGTTTTTTGGTAGCCGGAAGGACGCGTCACTTTCTTTGGAAAATTTTCAGACGCGTTTCTTGATAGAGCGAGAAATCGGTTTTGGAGAGAGAGAGAGAGAGAGAGAGAGAGGCGAGGAAAACCAGTTAGTTTGCCTTGCGGTGAACTGTTTATATTGTTATTGGTTACCTGGGGATCGATGGGAAAGTGAGAGAAAATCACACAGAAAGTGGAAGAAAAAAGCAGAAAGGTAAGAGAAGGTGGATTGAGAATTGAGAGAAAGTGAAAGAAAATTAGCCGTTTATTCGTTTTCAAAAAGAAAATAAAAAGGAAAATTAGCCGTTTAATTATAATTACTAGCCGTTGGGATTAGGGACGGTTCACACGTGTGTTTGGCGCACATATGAAAGTTGAGTAATGCCACCCTCAGTAAGGGTTGGTACAGTACGGTTCGATGCAGTTCCACACTTAAACTGGAATCAGAAACAGAAAATATCATCTGTTTGGTTTGATGCGGTTTCGCTTAAATTTATTACTAGAGCTGTACGGTTCGATCTATAACGATTCCGATTCCTTTTTTGTCGGTTTACGATTTCGAATACTAAATTATTGAACACCAACTCATCATGCCAAGGCCCATCTTTGACATTGAAGATGGGCCTTGGGCCTTGGGGCTCTTGGGCTCGGATTGACGAAAAACCCAAGTATCATTTTTACGTTTTTGATTTTTGCATTCAGTTTTTTTTCTGAAAAGATAAAACCGATCACATGAACGGTTTCAACTGCTCATTTACGCCATTATATATGGCTGTTGGATCAGAAACAAGAACAACAATTTTCCATCAAATCCTTCACACTTCACAGAGAAACACCACAACCAATTCGCCAAGAATCCGAGTTCGAGTGCAAGAACTTGGATTAGATAGTTGTATCCTGCAAGATAGACGTCCATTGAACTGCTGCACTGGTGTAGGGACGAATTTCTGTCTTAGGAGATTGCTTCTGCAAGCCTCTATCTTCAAGGAACAAGTCAGTGATTTGTGATTTTATATATAATTTCATTAAGTGTTTATGTTTTAATATATTGTATTTGTCGTTGAGTTTTTCCATTTGAAATAAAACTGTGCAAATTGTTATATATTATACACTTGACATTTGATTGGTTATAACAAAAAATTCATATAAAACAATTCAATTTCACGGTGGTTGTAGTACACATTTTCTTCTACAAATCACAAGATGCAAACACAAGGTACAAACTGAGGGATGATCGTTATTAGGGATTTGTCGACCTGAAAAGATTTGGCAAGAACATCCTCAGAAATGGCAGGTTTGGATCCAAACACAGCATGATGTAGACTTTAGGGTTTTGGCTGCTCAAAGAAGATAGAGCAATGGCAGTTCCAGAACCCAGGTTTTGCTGATAGTGAACTAGCCCAGCAGGGAAAAACATCACCCTTCTTAAGGACCTTCGAGATGAGCTTGTTCTCGGGGCTTGAGGTCACAAGGCCAACGTTGAGCTTGCCTTTTAAGACTGTCAAAATCTCGGTGGCACGAGGATGAGTGTGGGGTTGGATAACACCGATTGGTGCGTAGAGCGAGTGAGATGCCGAGGACAAACCTAGGCTAGTAGCGTTAGCAATGCAGAAATCCTGCAACGGGCTAGGCTCAAAAGCAACAACCAGAGAACATGTTATGGCTAGGAGAGTAGTCAATAGCAGTATTTGGCTTGCCATCTTAGTAATTCAACTTCTTGTATGAGATTATATTTACTTCTATATGAAGTTACTGCAAATGAGAGATTGAAGGGATTGGAAGAGAGGTGAGGGAATTGAACGTTTCCCTTTGGTTTCCAAAATAGTAATCAACATGCATATATATAGTACGTGTTATATCAAGCCAAAGCTTTATGCTAAATTATCCGAGTCCTATGTGATTGACTTGGCTCCAAAGTAACATACGTTCCATGCTAAATACACATACTAAAGTTATAATTATATCAAATGGAGGCGTCTCTGTCTAGGGTTTACAGACCATATGAGGCTAAGGCTTAAATGGTTAGATAGATTATCAGGTATATATATCGCCCTTTTTCTTTCTCCGTTTGCAAACACTGGCCAGATTTCCCTAACACTAAGTAAAAAGAAGGATATGGAAATTAATATACATTATTGTAGCATAGACGTGAGAAAAATATATATCGACTAACCAGTATAAGTTCGACACTCTTCCTGCAATTTTAATTAATTTAACATAAAATATCGCTTGTTTCAAAACAAATATTTCATTAGTTAAACAAATCTTGATAATCATGATTCATTAACCATTTACAAATATATAACCCACATACAAAATGAAAGACGAATAATAGTTAATGACTAGCCCAAGATAGTGATCCATAATGCTAATATCAATCCATGATCCTAGCAAAATCCTTTTCAGTCCATAGGATTTCCGGTCGGGTCTTCAAACCCTTCCATTTCGCTACTCTATGGGATTTTGATATCTTGTTACTGAATATTTTGCATCAGGTAATACTAAGGAAATTAAATTTGAAGACAAAATTTGCAAATTAAATGACGTGTCACTTATAGGAATGAGCATGTTTATCAACGTTAAGTAATAAATCAATTATCAACTTCCACGTCATTTAATTTCTAAGATTTTGTCTAAAAATTTAGTCTCTCTAGTACTACCATTTTGCATCAATCTACCACTAGCACAAAATTGATATACACGATATGTTTACAATTTTACACTAAACAATTGAGGAATACAACTAAACAAATTAACAATTTTTAATATAACTGATATATTTACATTTAGGGTTGTCTTGTTACATTCAATGGCGTATCCAAGGGGGCCCTCTGGGTCTCGAGACCCTACAAAAGTCAAGAAACATAGAGAGAAGGTCACCGGACTCTATAACTATGTGGTATGGGACCTGAGAATACCCACAAGATACCCACAAACTTACATTATTGTGCAAATAATGAGAAAGCATGCATCTAGCGTGCATGATACTGATATGCCATGTCATTTCTATGGTAAGAGATATCATGTTTTTTATATGGTCAAAGAGATTGAATGTCTATTTCACTCCTAATTTTCATAAAGAAGATAGATTTCGAACAAGGAGCCGATCGAAGGAAAAGTTTCAATTATCTTAATTTCATATTTGATTGATCAAAATCATGTGGGAATGCTTAACCAAAATGAAATATTTTTTGAGGAATGCATGCTTCTATATTTGCTAATTGGAATCATAGCAATACCAAAGGTTACAGTTTACTTATTAGATCTGCATCCTTCAATTTCAGTAGACAATTTTTAGTTTCTAAGATTCTTGATTTCTCTTGAAAGAAATTGCAAACTGATTCAAAAAATCAAATATTATTACAAGTAAATTTTTTTATTAGAAAAATGAATCAAAGTTGCAGAAGTCACATGATCTATAGAAAAACGTTAGCAGTTTTTACGATTGATACTATGATAATAATACCAAGAATCATGAAAGTATAAAGAAGTTTAGAGAATTGTTTGGAGAAAAGAACAAAAGGAGCCACTTTTGAGGTTGCAGTGCGGGTTTTGTTAACAGAGAGAATGTGGTATTGAGAAAATAACAGCACCAACTATCCAAAAAAAAAAAAATTATTCTCAACCACAATCTCACATGCTAAACCAAATAGTTCTAAATAATTTTAAGCATATGATTTATTATATTAAATCTTTACATAAACAAATGAGATTTTTGAAAGTTCATCCAAAATGTATGTTTAACTTTTTGTTACTGTTTCATTCCAACACATTCTTTGTCCATCTCAAACTAACATGCATATCAGCATTTTACACTCTTATCATTCTGACAAAGTTTTTATCTCCTGCTGGATAGCTGCCCCTTTCTCTTTTTACAGTATCGTAGATGGACGGAAGAAGGGAAGTAGACAGACGGAAGAAGGAAGTTACAGAATGAGACAAGAAGTGGATAGCGAGCTGTTATTAAAATATTATGAACATGATAATTATCATAAAAAATTTCATGTTAATTCCATACAAATCAGTACTATAGCACTGAAGATGAAATATAGAGTCAAAAACATTCATTTTCTTGCCATGTATATTGAAAAACCGCAGAAATATCACAATAACGTAAACAATACTGATAAAAATTGAACAAAGCATAAGGAGCAATTGGATATAAATCAAGATTGATGTCGAAGAATTTCATACAAGACCACTCGATTTCATGGAGACTTTAGTATACACTTCTACAAATAACAAGTATAAACTGAGGAATGATATGAAATATCATAAGCCAATTTAATTCCACATGGAAAAACATCTAAAATTTTGCTTGAAGATCCCTAATTACGGATTGTTCCACTCGGAAAGACTTGGCCAAAACATCCTCGGAAATAACAGGATTGGACCCAAAAACAACATTGGCAATGGTGTTGACTCCAGGGTTTTGGCTGCTCAAGTAAGATAGAGAAATGGCAGTTCCCGAACCCAGGTTTTGCTGATAGTGAACCAATCCAACAGGGAAAACAAACACATCACCCTTCTTAAGGACCTTCGAGATGAGCTTGTTCTCGGGGTTCGACGTCACAAACCCAACATTGAGCTTGCCTTTCAAGACCGTCAGAATCTCGGTGGCGCGAGGATGGGTGTGGGGAGGGATAACACCCATTGGTGCGTAGTCAATGCGAGCGAGTGAGATGCCGAGGGTGTTGAGTCCTGGAATCTGAGCCACCTTGACAGGAGTGACTTTTCCACCAACAGGGTTTGAGGTGTTGCCTGGGATGTGGAGTCCGCTGAAGAAGAAATGCTCAGCTGTTGCTAGCTTGGAGTCCAAGCAAGGTAACCCATTAACTCTCGTTACTGTTACAATTTACAAACCAACACAAAAAGTTAAGCCATTGTGAAATTAAAGCTTATCTTAACATAATTAAACATTTCGACATGAACCTGAGCTAGTAGCATCAGCAACACAGAAATCCTGCAATGGACTAGGCTCAAAAGCAATGACCAGAGAACATGTCATGGCCAGGAAGGTAGTTAACAGCAAGATTTGGTTTGCCATCTTAATTTTTCAGCTTCTTGTACGAGACTGTAATTCCAGTTCTTGCAAATATGGAAAATGGAAAGGATTGAGAGAGATGTGAAGCAATCGTTGGATGGACTTGGTTATTTATAGACAAGGTAGAATTAGTGATGGCTTTCAATGAAGAACAACCATACAAAGAAAACGCGGCCGGCCGCCCGGCCAGCCTTGCATTCTAGACACCGGAAGACTGAGAGCTTTCAGTTAAAGCAAAATGTAAACGTGTACATCCACTAAATCCAAATTTGTTCATAGATATCTTTTGTTCATTTTCTACTCCTTGTTAAACATATCAAGCCAACATCTGGGTCTAATTTATTCCATATATTTAAGAAACCGTGTAAAGAATCTGTAATTTAAAAATTAAAAATTAAAAAAAAAAAAAATTCAATAACTAAACCATGAAAGTTAAGTTGAAGCAGCAGCTTATAGAAAATCTTAAACTCAAATTACAACTAATTAAAGGCACCGCCGTGTTTTTGTTCCAGCATCCTGCTCCGGCTGGAGCTGATATGGTCAGATTATCAGTTATATATTTGCCGGCTTGCAACTTCCGGTCAGTTTATTCCAAGATTAAGTCTTTGTGGAAGAAGGATGAATGTAAATTATGTTGTCATTTTTATTTCCGTTGGCGCAATCGGGTAGTTTGGTTGTCCGACCGAGTAGGGCAAACATAAAGGGGGAAGGGGATCGGAGTTGTACGGGAAATTACTTAAAAGAATTTGAGATGAGAATAAGTAATGCATTGTGCACCTGAACAGCCATAGATATGATCATATAAGAATCTCATACAAATCTGAAACTTACAAGGCCACAGATGGAAGAAAATAAAACCCAAGTGTCATGATGCGGAATATCTTTGACCTATTGTTGATAATAGATTTGCTCGCCGTTGGTGGTGAGCATCACCACCACATTATGTGTCGTTTGATAAGTTTGATTTAACTTACCACCCGCCACGCGAATATCAAAAAATCAAAATCGTCAAATGGCACATATAATGGTGGTAATCTATTCTCCCTATTGCTAGTTGATACTATTCCATTCGCATATAAATTTTTTAAGATGTTCTAAATCTGCAACATAGGAAGATCACCTCCCGGAGGTAACCGAACCACTGGAGGATAGAATGGAGCAGGCTTTTTTCAGAATTGCCAGCTGCAGCAAAAACCAACTCTTGAGGTGGCAAATCCATACTGAAAAAAGCCGATTGACCAACAGTCATTTGTGTGATAACTGACTCGAGATGTGGAATCACTGCTCCAGATGCTATCTCAAACTCAATGTCATCACTACTTTCCAAAAGTTCTTTCATATGTTTTCCTTCAGTCACCAAAGAAACAGAATAACTCGCACAGCCAAGGAACCAATAGATGGAAAAATACCAGAATCCGGTCCTTCTACACTTAAAGAACGAAGTTCAATTCCAGGGAGAGCAAATGACGCATTCAGAGAGTTGGAATACGCTAATTTGCCATCTTCGGTCTCTTTATGCCCAACATTATGAATATGTTGGCACAGCATAAATGTTTTAATAAAGGTTTGGGAATCGAATCTAATGTTACGGCCACCAGCAGAAGCATTTAGTCTCTCTAAAGACACAGTTGGATCCCCAAAATATGCATTTAACCATAACAGAACTTTCAAAGAAGCATTCTGGATAGCATCACTCTGCTTCTTAAAAGTCTCTTTTGGTGAGTACTCTAAAATAATATCCTGAAACTTGGAAATTATTTTTACTTCGCATCTAAATCTACCTCCGGATTCAACTATCTCATTTACGCCAGCATCAACAACACAGCCATTTGCACATTGTGTCTCTTTCCCAGCCAAGTCTGTCACCTTTAACTTCTTGTGTGATATTGGTGACTCGGATGATTCTTCTAGAGTGCTTCGAGGAGTGAACATGGTACATTTATGGCTTCTTGAATGATATTGTGTGATAAGGATTACTTTTTCAACCCTCTTTTCTAAAGACCATGGTACATTTATGGCTTCAATTGAAAAGTTTTCCCTGGAGTCTGATTGCTCCACAGATGATGACTCTATTATTTCAGGAGTGTGTGGATTTTTCTTCCTAATCCAGAGCTCTTCCTCACAAGTAGCAAGCAGTCCAGATAATCTAGCAGCAGCCCTCATAACATATGATATAACCAAGAAAGGATTTGACTCCACCTCAGGATCAATGGATTTACACATATTGTGGTCGGCTCTCTAGTGGTCAACTCTCTAGTAATCGATTCTAGTGGTTAGCTCTTCAGAAGACCATCTTCGAGCGGTTAGCACCACGAATGAGCACCTTGTAAGACCACTTGGTATTGGTATGGTATCACCATTTACTCCAATTGGCAAGCACTCCGGAAAGACCACCTCTCTCAAGTGCTCTAAGGACGACAGCATCCCCTGCGCGCTTTTTATAGACTACCATTAAATGAAGACCCTTTGACTATTTGACTAAGACTAGATATTTGTTAGTCTCTAGTATTTGTTGAGCTTTAGATATTTATTAAGTGTTTATTAAGTAGTTTACATGAGGCCACGTCATCTTGTAAATGTGGGTAGCCCCTTGCCACATACATGACCTTTTGGTGAAAGGTCTCTCTCATTTCCTATTCTCATCCACGTACCTCCCCTCCTCTTACATTTTACTTTTTGTCTTATCGTATTTACAAAAAAATCAATATAAAATGTTGACGTAACTTAACCGTAACCGTTCAAGCATGAGGAGAGAGAAATTAGGAGAGGAGAGAATCATCCCCCATGTAAAAGGGCTATCAAGTAGAAGAAGGGGTTGCACCCTTCTTGCTCACCAAGACTCCTAAGCCTAGTTTACTACAGCGGACCACCCCCATTTATGGATGAACTTCTGTACATCCTCGTGTTTACTCTAGCATCCCTTAAAGTTAACTCCCAGTTTTGAGCGTTAACAACGTGGGTCGCAAGTCCTGATAGACTCGGTTTGGAAGCGAATCTGGCTACGTGGCCAAGTTACAGTTCTTTACACGTGGTGATACCCGGTTGGTTGAAATTGACGTCCCGTCACACCTGGCTTTCGGAACAAGTGTCGTTAGACTCGTCACGCCGTCAGCATATGCCTCGCCTCCGAATATCAACCTCAGATCATATGGTGCGTGCGATCAAGAATTCCTCTTTAATTTGATTCGAGTAGTTTAGAATATCGTATTAAACTACATATAAACTATAAACGACATGGGGCAATGTATGTTAACTTGAAACGGCCAGTGGTGGTGGATCGTCGTGGAAGCGATACAGAGCTAAACAGAAATTTGCATCCCTTGAAATATAATACATTTCCAATTTGCCACAGTGGTTAGTTCAATTAGCTGATCACACTAGAAAAACCAAACGACGTACAAAAAGGGAGGCCAATGAGATATTAAACTTCCCTCCCACAAACAAGCTAACTTCAAACTATATGGAGGAGAGATCCTCATAGATGTTCTTAATACCTGGCCTCTCCCCAACACTTCTTAAACATCGTAACGATATTCCAAGGACCTCCTTCATTCCCTTCTCTGCTGCTGGCATTCCCATTTCCGGCACCAATGCAGCATCAAAACATTCAGAGCCGCGCCCTTCTGATACCCTCAGCCGGACCCAGTCTGTCAAATCAACCCCACTTCCTTCACCTGAAATCACATCGCCCGCACACCTTCCAGTTAAGAGTTCCAGCATTACCACTCCAAAGGCGTAAATGTCTGACTTGAAGGAGGGAAGCGGCTTCTTGGAAGCAGCCAACTCTGGTGCACGGTAACCCAAGACACCAGCATCGAGAATCTGTTCAATGGTGCCAGCTTGTGTCATGAGGCGATGGAGGCAGTAATCAGCAACACGGGCATTCAGGTCTGGCCCGTCCAACAAAATATTTGATGCTTTGAGGTTACCATGTGGAACAGCACGGTCAAAATGGAGATAGTTCAGACCACGTGCAACGTCAACTGCAATTTTGAGCCTTTGGGCCCAGTTCAGTGGTTGACCCCTTCTTCCTGGTCGATCTGAAAATAGTTTAGGCTCATTAGAAATGCAAAGGGAAGTTACCTAAATACAAACACGCGCACAGATAGATACGTGGGATAAAGATCATAATACACGTCTGCATTCTTTAAGAGGAATGTATTTGATCAGTGCAAGATAAATAGGCCAAAGAGACTAATAGAAAACAGCTTACCATAAAGAAAGCTTGCAAGACTTCCAGGTGAGATATAATCGGAAAGAATGAGCTTCTCATGCTGTGTGGGGCCCCAATAGTACCCCTTCAAACCTACAACATTTGGATGCCTCATGTTCGCAAACTTTTTAGCCTCCTTAGCAAACTCCTTTTTCTGTTTCGCCACCCCTTCTCTCAACCACTTCACTGTCAAGAGCAACCCGTTATCAAGTGTTGCCCTGTAAGAAGTCCCATGGCTACTTCTTCCCAGAACTTCAGCAGGAGCCCTTGACAGCTCCTCGGGGGTCAATGCGATTGTGTCATCAAGAAAATGCAACTCACCGACCAATTTATCCGGCGACCTCACATCCAGTCTTGCAAGGTTTTCTGTAGTGACCGACTCTCCAGACTCTGGTGACCAAGAGAAATGGCTGTGCTTTGAAGGAGAAAAACCAGCTACAGCTGCAACTTTTTTGTCGGGGCTGACAATTTCAGATGATGATCCTTTTTGTGAAGCCATGAGATCCTCAGCTGAAGTTCCACGAACACCAGATTGAGTTGGTTGAGCGTGCCTGTGGATGTCTTTGCTTGTGGTATGCTCTGACGGGATTCTTCTTGACATGCGGATGTAGTGTACGAAGATAGCAAGCAGAAGAAGAATGAAGACGGCAACCACACATGAAACTATAATGATTACTTTGACCATTGTGCTGATTGGTCTCCTCTTTGAACTTTCATTTTCAGTACCATTGGATCCTGGAGGACCATTTGGAAATTGTAAACGTGCATTCCCTGGGAAGAAGGAAGATCTTGGAAACTTTCTCAGATTTTCCGGGACATCTCCAGAAAGATCATTGTATGAAGCATTAAAACTTTCAAGACTAGTAGGCAAGTTGTTCGGCAAAGGACCTGTAAAATGATTCTGTGATATGTCGAATGAACTTAATGTGCTGATGTTGGTGACTGAAGTTGGAAGAGAGCCAGAAAAATTATTTCTAGCAACATTGAATACTTTAAGTCCCTTCAATGAACCAAAATGATCAGGAAAATAGCCACTAAGCTGGTTCTGAGAAAGATCAAGAACCTGAAGATTAGACTCACTTGACACAGGAGATGAGATATTAATAGACCCGGTGAGAAGATTATCACGAAGGTGAAGTTCTTGTAAAGTGGGCATTGTTAGCAATTCGGCTAGAATTGTTCCATCGAGATGATTGGAACTGAGATCAAGCACACTAATCTTTGGATACTGTGTTATAACACTTGCTATAGAACTACGAAGGGTGTTATGGGAGAGGTTGAGATAATTTAAACGCAAGAACTGTGGGGTAACATCAGGGATGGGTCCTGTCAAACGATTTTGACTCAGATCAAGATATTCGATGTTCCCCCATTTCACCATCCTGGTTAAGTTTCCTTCAAATTTGTTATTCGATAGATCAAGCACAGCACAACTTCCGGTCAGCAAGGGTAACTCACCAGTTAGCCCATTTGAGGAGAGATTGAGGAAACGCAAATTTGTTGACGTAATCATATTTATTGGCCCTGAGAGATGAACTTAGATGTGAGAGGCATACTAAAACACACTAAACACACATGACTAAAGTAGAGGCCACAAAAACATATTTGTAACAAACGCAAAAAGTAGTATGTAGATAGAAGTACCTGAGAGATTGTTGCCGCTCAAATCTAGTTCACTAACAACCAGAGAATCACCTTTTAAAAGACCATTAGGAATATCTCCAGTAAATCTGTTGTTGCTCAGCTTGAGGACTTCGAGGTCATACACGAAATTAAATCCAGGCAATTCCCCTGACAACTGGTTATAGCTGAGATCCAACACCTTCAAGTTTTCAAACATCTGTAGCTCACCGCCGCTTACCAGGGACCCATTGAGCTGATTGTGGCTAAGATTCAAGTACTTTATAGTCTCCGAAAGGCGAGGCAGAAATTTCTGCTGTTGTGAACTGGAACTAACAAACATATTGCCACTCAAATCAACATGAGTGACCTCAGATAGCATCAAAAATTCCAGATCCATATTACCATCGAGCATGTTGCCATGCAAGTCAAGCACGTCAAGACTTGAAATTAGCTCAAACCCCTTTGGTATTTGCCTGGTAAATCCGTTCAATGACAGATTTAGAGACACCAGTTTAGGCAGCTTTGTCAATGCTGCTGGCAGTGGCCCGGACAAGAAGTTGCGACTTAAGTCCAATGACTGAACTGAGGAAAGGCCCGAAATTGAATCTGGAATAGAGCCTGAGAAGTTGTTACCAGCTAATGAGAGGTTCCTTAAGCTCCCTAACCTACCAATCCCAGGTGGTAAAGGTGAAGAAAATAAATTGTTGGACAGGTCAAGAAACTCAAGGCTTTTGAAGTCAGCTATGTTGCCTGGAAACTTCCCCATTATCGAATTGTTGGCCATGGAAAGTCTCACAAGCTTCGTCAGATTCACAAACACGCTCAAGTCCACATCCGCGGAGAGACTCAAATTATCAAGGACAACTCCGGCAACATTTCCGCCATTACACACGACTCCATTCCAAGAAGAAGGGCAGCCATCAAAGTCAATGGACTCGTCATTCCAAGAATTGAGAACATAGCCAGTGGGATCATGCTTGATACCCTTCTTGAACTCCAGCAGCGCCAAAATATCCTGCGAAGGGAGCTGCCCCATGGCAGAAATAAACAGAAGGGACACCACAAAAAGCCAACGGAGCATGCTTGTCCTATATCAATGGCTTAACCCAGTTGAAATGAAAGCTCAATGTCAGAACAAGAAGTAAATTTTAAGCCTCCACAACCAACAAATTCAAGCAGGAAAACCAAACCAATATTCCAACACCAACTAAAGCACAACGCAGAACCCTTGCTTTCGATTTCGAATATAACGAGAAATAGCTATCAATGTTGTGAACAAATGGGGGGGCTTTTGAGCTCTCAAATTCAGAGTACAAGAAAATTTTCAGACTTTTTGCAACCACGACAGTTGGAATCAAACATGCAATCAGAGCCCCCAAATGCTCATCAAAATAACACCTTTTTCCTAAGAAAAAGGTCAAACCTTCGAACTTTGAAGAGCTTCAAAGAACCCAGATTCTCCTTCTCAAAGAGCAACAAAAATGATTTCACCAATACAGCACAGCATCAAGTTACACAGACTGAAAGCAGTAAATCCCAGAAACAAGCAGCAAAAACTGAGTCACTTTTAGAGATCCAGAAACATTTTCCTGCTAAAAGATCCGGAACTTAGCAACAATGTGGCACTGTAAAAACTATTTTTCTACAAAGATACAAGCTTTGAAGCAAAACCCAGAATCTGAAACTGCTAAAAAATTAGAGATGGGATGTAAAGGCCTTACCTTTTCCACATTGCTTCTTCACAGACCCAACAGTTCAACCAGCTACAGAAAACCCATGAACAAAAACTAGAAGTGGGTCTTTAAAATTATAAGCCAAACTGCAATAAATCAAGGGACCCAGAGGAAATATACCCACAAAAACCCTGTTAAAAAAAAGTACTTTTGGACTTTTCTTAACTGTCCAAAAACTTTGCTCTTTTTTTAATGAAAGTAAAGAAAGGCAGTACCAAGAGATGCATGTGGAGACGCTAAAGAAAAAACCAAAGGGGTTCTGTGGCATCGGGGGATTAAACAAAAACCCTAAAAAAACCCTAGCCTTTGTGCCCTTTGGGGTTTAACTTCTTTTAATAGTAGCAATTGGAAAGTAAGCGGGAAAATATGAGGACTTTTTTTATAGAAAAATTAATGAAAAATGTTTGAAATTTTTGAGTTTTAATAATAAGGATAAAATAAATAGTATTAAAATTAATTTTTTATTGTAAAAATATAATTTTTCTTTAAAATAAGTAATATCAGAAGTTTTCGTTAAAATTTTTTTTTATTAAGATAATATTGGGGGATTACCCGCCAAAACAGGGGACGGAATCTCTCACTTTCCTAGTGGACGTCAAAAGAATTTATGAAATCCAGTTTAAGATTTAGGTTTCACTTTTTGGGGGACTTAAAAATGTCTGAAAAATTAATGGCACGGAGGATCGTGAGGTCAGTGCCAGGTAGGACAGAGTGTGGGCTCCGCCACTGCCCCTTTGACGAGGGTTCTTCACTCCTTTCAAGTTCCCATAAGACCAAAGAGGTGGAGTAGGTGGATGCATAATGATATGTTGTGGCAGTGGGACCCTGAAGCAAACCAGCAGGACCATTGTGGTAATGACACGTGGGAAAGATATGTAGGGAAGCTAGACACACGTGACCTGCCTGATAGACTTGATCGTTGGATTACATCTGCGGGGGTGATTGGGGAGGATAAAATTAATTAGGGATGAGTTCGGTTTCATTAAGTTTGGTTTTTTGGCAAAATCGAAATCAAACAAAAACTAAGGTTCGGTTCGGTTAAATTCAATTTTTTTTCAGTTCCTTTTTTTATCTAATTTGATTTTGTTCAGTTCGGTTTTGGTTTTTTATTTTATAAAACTTGACCTTTATTTAATGAAAAATTTTCGGCACTATTTACTTTACCTTTTATTTTGTCCTTGTCGTTAAAACTCAAAATTTTCAAGCATTTTTCATTAATTTTCCTTTATTTAATATTGTAATTTGGAAAGAGGCTTGCATTGGTAGCCTAATAATAATAAAATGGGGAAAGTGAAATGTGGGAAGGTAGTTGTATATATACAAGATCATATAAATCAATCATATTCTATCAACAACCTCAATTGCAAAGAAAAATGATCACCGTATCCACCTCAAAAAAAAAAAACAAATGGAGAAGCTCTTTCAGGTTTCAATATTCCAAAACATTTCTTTATAACCAATGAAACATCCTCCCTAATTGAACAAGTATACTCCTTGAAAAAAACCCTAGGTTAGTTTCAAACTTGGCAACAAAGTTTCACAAAAGAAACATCATGGGCATACATTCATGAAGTGTAAAGGGATTCAGTTTGATTCGGTTTGGTCCGGTTTTTTAACCTCCAAAATTGAAATCAAACCAATAAGGTTCGGTTCGGTTCGGTTCGGTTCGTTTCAGGTTTTTTTTTTTTTTTTTAGCTTTCGGTCTGGTTTTTTTTTTTTTCGGTTTTCAATTTTTTGAACCCACCCCTACCATTAACCTTTTGGTCATGACTCATGGTGTTGGAGTCATTGTTCTAAAAATTATTGCATAGACCTATTTAGCCATCCACTTAGCCGCCTTGATTTGCTAAAGTACCTGCCTAAGTCGCAACTTTCCCATATACAGAAAATAGATAACTTTTATTTTATTTAATAAATTGTAAGAGACTTGTTGAATATTTAGATGAACACTCATTATATGCTTAGTATCCTACCCACCACCCGATTTGCGCTTAACGACTTGTATAATCTTGGTATTTTATATTTTATGTAACCTTCTATTTTGTATTTTACATTTTCCAAATTTCCTATACAAGTATACATTTTTTAATAGGCACTTATTTATGTGATGTATAATAAATTTAAGTCAAATCCAGTCTAGTCCATCTAGGGGCTTAGGCGCTAACTTCCAGTCTGCCGTCCAACTAACACCTAGCATTTTTTAGAACATTTGTTGGAGCGGAATTGTCTTTTAAAGGATTAGTTATCTTGCAAGAATGCTAATATTTGTTTTGTTGGGGGGGGGGGGGAAGAAGAGATTTGATCCTACAATCAAAAATTATTGTAGCTTTCAAAGGTTTTCATTAACTTTTCTACTTTTGATTGTAGGATCAAATTTTAAAGACCATGATTATTTGATCCCTAAGCTCTGAATGTATAGATCTGGAGAGAATCTCTTCCCGTATGAGGGGATCACCAAACATAGGTGATAAAGCCAATCCAATTTCACTACTAATCCTAACTATCAAACGAGAACTTAGATTAACACGTATGGAAATAACAAAAAGGGATGAGGAGGAAAAGAAGCTCAACTCCCTAAAAGGAATTGGGAAACCTCAGTGCTCGGCCAAAAAGCACACCCATTATGCTGCTAGTGGGAACGGGTTGGTAACCAACACCTTTCTATGATATCAACTTTCACATTTTGTCATGCACTATCCTCCTGCAGTTGAGTCTCTTGATTTCTCGTTAATTTAAATCATGCGGATACAAACAAGATCGAGGGGCCGAAGAGGACCAGAAAATACTTCCTTGCCACAATTTTACCATCCCCTCTTCCTTCTCATCGAGAAAGAGGGGCAATGGAACCGGGACACGGAAGTTTCTCCTCTAGGTCGCGGGTGTTTGGTACCACTCTTCAACAAAGGTTTTACCCTCCCCAATCCCAATTCCACGAGCTCGGCAGTCGGCAGCAACTCAATCTCCTCATGGAGGGGTGTAACTTGGATAATTGGATTGTTGCAATCATTGAGGTAAAAGATAAGGGGGAGTAAAAGGAAATCAAATTTAGAATCTGGATGGGCCGGGAATTTCAGATATATCATGTATTTATCTATTTGCTCTCCACAAAGTCTACATTCAACTTCCAACAAATATCAGAGAGTGGCAACTGAACTAGCCGAACAAAAATTTAGCCCCGAAGCGACGATACAAAACACAACACACAACACGCTACCGCTTGTTTTTCCATTTTCACGATGCAAGTGTACAATCGTATGAATGACATCGAAATGCACTCTCAGAATTAGCAAATTAAGATTATACGTTGTGCTGCGTATGATGCTCACTTCTTCCCACCCCCAGAAACATTAAACTTGAAGAAGATGACGTCTGCGTCTTGGACCACGTATGTCTTCCCCTCCTGTCTGTATTTACCAGCAGCCTAAGCAGAGAAATTACATGAAATTAATTAGCAAAGTTAAATCCATGACAATTCCTCACCTGGTAGAGCAAATAGCTGTGCCGAAACAGCAGAAACTAATTCCTTATATAATGCAAAGCCATAGGTGCTAAAAGCCATTGGGTGAGCAACGACTTGACGGCAGCTTCGGGCTATCTACTATCAAGGGATTATGAATCATAGGAATACGATCCTACGATTTGCATGTCATGAAAGCAATGATATGAGGAGAATTAGATTTAAAGCCTACAAGACATTGTTCAGAACGTAGCCCATACCTTAACAGCTGGCTCACTTCCGAGTTCCTTCAGATCATCAAATTTCATCACCTGCCAATCAAGAAAGAATCCCAGTCAATGAACTTGAGGGATCTGGTACATCCTCTATTCCGAACAGGCAGAAGCACTTTAGTAATGATAACAGAGAAGCAGTAATATAACGGTGATAGCATACAGAAAAGGTGCGGTCCTTACAGCAACATGATAACGGCTAAAGAATAAGTAGTTATTTTCATGATTTTTCCAATTGAAAATAGTTGTAGACACATTAATATGACTCTTTTAATAAATTTGTTACAGTGCCAGACTACTAGTATCACATTTATTAACCACAGTTACCATACAATAAAAAACTCGACTCATCAAGGCCACACCAAACAGGCACTAACGATGCTCCAAGCTTTCAACATGGGTCCACATGTATATATATATATATAGCATTATACGATGTTGCTATTATACGACCAAAAGAATTATAACAGTTGCTATCGCCTGTTGGAAATTATGTTCTCACAAGGAATAATGTTTGTTGATACATACTGATATTTCAGAAAAGAAATGAAATAGATGACAAAGGGAAGGTGATAGCTCTTTAATAGCAAGAAAGAAAAGAATGGAAAACGTAAAGTAAATACTACATTCAGGCTAAATATAATATTTTTTATCCATATGACAACCTTTTAAATTTTTCTCTCTTCAATTTCTTTTTCATGCATAGTTTTGAACAGAAAAATCATTCACCAATGCCATTTTTCTTTTAATTTTGACTGCACATGTAGAGAGCCAAGCCATCTCTTGTATTTGTATATCATAGATTAGAGCTAAAAGATATTAATAAAGAAGAATTATTGCCAGACAAGATTTAATATGAGCAAGAAATAACCTCAGCACAAATGAACCCTCTCTCGAAATCAGTATGGATGGCCCCTGCAGCTTGAGGAGCTTTTGTCTGCCGCCTAATTTGCCAGCACTTAACCTGCCAAATGCGATAGTAGTTGGTAGACTCAGATCAAGTACATGTAAAAACAGCTAATCAAAAAGAGTAACCCTAGACAAGTGGCATCAAGTTTAACTTCAAAAGAATAGTAATAAGAACGAATATTAGAAAATTTTACCTCATCTGGACCAGCCGTGAAAAAGTATATGAGATTAATCGCTGAAAATCCAGTCTTTATGATCTTAGTAAGGGCACTGTAGAAGATTTGAACCAGTCAGCATACAAATTACATACTACATATCCACTCTGTTCCTACGCTGCAAGACCCTAAGGACTTATTGCCGATGCAGAAAGACATTAAGGGACTCTTAACGACAAATAATCAAACTGATATCTGAAAATTAGTCAGGAGAATCAGAGTAAAAGTAGCCAAACTATGGTTTAACCCACAATAAAAGATTGGCAACGTCCCCCTAACATGGACAGTATAACATAAAATTGCAGAAGAAAAAAGTAGCAGTGTGTGCCAGTGTTTCTGTGCATAGAAATAAATATAATTTTCTTCCAAGAAATAAAACACATTAGCTACTAGTCCTTACCAAAATAATGAAAGATTTAAACCATATGCTAGCATTCATTCACTCCTCCATTGACACAACACATTAAAGGTTGAACTAACCTTTGCACGTTGTTCTGCTCGCAATACTTTGCTGCTTCTTCAGTTGGCAAATCAGCGAGATTCCTTTCTAACGCACAGCTGAATGGAATAATTGGTTCAGCTCCATGTTCCTGCACCCTATGACATGAAAAGGGCAATGTTACCTTCACCACATGATTGGTTTCAAGATGTAACATATTTAGGAACATTAGAAGGAAAATGGTAGAATAAAGCCTAAGAAAGCTAATGTAATGTATACACCTTAAATCAATCTATGAAGCATCTATCTGTTTTAAGCTTTTCATAGCAAAAAGCCTAACCAACAGTATGAATCCTGTAGTAAAATGTGTGAAAATTGAAAAGGATGTGAACTGTAAACACACAAAAAAGTTGCACTTTCATGTATGAACATAACTACCTCCCGTGCACACACAGATAGACATGAACAAGGATGAAAACACACTGACAATGCATGCAGAAGCACACAAATGCACATAGCAAGAGAGAGTGGATGGAGAAAACAAATATCAGAAGGTTACCACGCATGGATCTTTGGCAAGAACTTGTTCTTTTTCCTCTGGTAATCTTTCTCATTCATGTTAACCTGTGGAAATATAGTTACAGATATCAAAAATCATCATCCACACCTAAAATAGCTAAAAGCGAGATCCTAAGCTTAAAGTCCAGCTAAAAAAACATAAGCGCACAAAAAGGCTGGTAGCAAAACAATTTCTACAATCTGACAAACAATCTAATTTTAGAATCAAAATGTACGCTACTAGAATGGTGCTTTGCACATTTATATATGTTTCAGAAATTTTTCTTTCAAGGAGTACATTACTATAATTATTAATTATTGTCTATTCAAATTTCTGAAAACAAGATAAAAATAACAAAACTCTTTCTTCTAAATATTTTGTTAAATGTCCCACCACAGATTCTTCACATTATTAATTCTAATACATTTTAAAAGAAAACGTGATATGCTCATAGAAGAACAAGACATTAAAAATTCCCACTGATTTTTCGAGGTCAACATGCAGAAGATATAACAACGCTTCATTTTGTTTACAAGATAAAAGAAATTATCGTTTACATATGCTGATTTTAGAAAAACTGTGAAGTAGAAAATACCGAACATGGAAGATAGATATAAACTGCAACATGCACAGAAAAATTGCAAAGCCACCATGGTAAGGAGAATTTACCAAGTAAACAACAGGCTTGGCTGTCAGCAATTGAAAGGTATTCAGGATCTCAACTTCAGCAGCTTTCCAGTCCCCAAGACGGACATCTTTTCCATCCTCAAGCCATGCCTTGATCTTTAGATCCACAGTCATTGTTCAATATTAGTAAGTAATTGTACATAAATATAAAACAATAATAAAATGCATGCTAGACCATTTTAGAGATGAAAGCATCATGAAAAGACAAAAAAATACTGACGATCCCCTTTACCCTACCTTGCTATGAAATAAAGGAAGTGTGGAAACATTCCAGTTGTGAACATAAGATAGGAAACAACCGTATTTTTTTACATGATTTGTTTCTCATCTCCCTTCTACATTGTTATGACTAACTTCTCTAAATACATTATGTCATCCCAGCCATCATACCCATGCAAAATAAATGGGTAGAAACTAGAAGACGTATATTGTTCACAATGCCTCAGAGAAACTTAATCGATTGTCTCAGTTAAAGGAACCAAAATCATATGATTGTAATACTAGACAAGATTATCTCATACACCAAACCTTTTGGCACAACTCATGTTCAATCTTTAATGCCTTCTCATTGCTCCTCTTCATGCTCTTTTCAAGATCTTCTATTCTCCTCTCAATGAATTCAATATCCTGCAAAACATAAGATGTAACTCTCTTAAAATTCAATATGGACAAATAAGTTAACTGCAAAGATAGACAACAACCAAGATGAGATCATAAGCAAATCAAATGATAGTTTTGAATATAGATCACATGCAGCAATCAAGAATCAATTATAGTTAGAGAATTATTGACTATAAAGCTCACCTTTAGGCGTAATTCTTGGCTGATAATCTCCAAATCCCTCACAGGATCCACGGTATCATCAACATGGATGATATCCGGATCTTCAAATGCACCTAGAAAAAATGGTAAAAGAGAACTGTGAATTTCATAGTAGCATTACACTCATATAATATCACAAAAATAAGAAAATTCCTGGAGAAAAAAAGAAGAAAAAGAGAGACAGAGACCTCTCCAGATTATTCCCAATAAAATTGCAACACTAAAGAACGTAAATCAGAGTTTACGAATTGGCTGTAAGATAGAGGGAAATTTCTTGTTTCTAAAAACTAAAAGCGAAGATGGGCAACATCTGGGCAAAATAAGTGATTTTGGAAGTCACAGAAGTGCTATAACTACTAATATAACAAGCATGAAGTACATCAAAGTTATAAACATCTTACGTAGAACGTGAAAAATGCCATCAACTGCACGGATATGGGATAAGAAACTGTTGCCCAACCCTTGTCCTTCATGGGCACCTCGAACAAGTCCAGCAATATCATGGATTTCCAAAAAAGCTGAGACCTGCATGCCAAGAAAAGTTCAAAAAAAAACATAAGAATTCTAGATGCATGAATAATAAGCTCATACCAAATCAGAAAGCCAATGGCCTTGCGGAAAAAAAAAATCACAATTCACATTTACGACAGTAGATCAAGTGAGCGGACAAACCTCGCTTTTCGGCTTGTATAACTGGCAAAGCCAGTCAAATCGCTCATCGGGAACATGGACTCGGGCTTCATTGGGTTCAATTGTGCAGAAAGGGAAGTTCTCGGCAGGTATCGACAACTTTGTGAGAGTGTTAAACAGAGTGGATTTTCCAACATTCGGCAATCCAACCTAACCAGAAACAAAAGCTTAGATACAATCATTCCATGTACGATACTTCACTTTAAAAACAAATAAATTAATATTTTTTTGTTAATTTCAAGCTTTAAACTTCCATAGAAGGCATATTAACTACCACTAAACCCAAAAATTAGTATACGGATACGGAAATGACCCAATCAAATACGAAATTCCTTATAAATGAATCGAAATTACTAATAGCCGCAGAGCACATGGATTCACTCCGATTCAGCACAATATTTCTCCAGCTCAGTTCCTAATTTTCTCGGGAAACAAACAGAAAATAACAAACGGTGAGAATCAGAGATTGTGAGCTTACGATGCCAATCTTGAGGTGAGAAGAGAATCGGCCGAGGATGGGTCGCTCGGCTGGTGCTTCCTTGGATTTTGCAGATTTCGGAGGCATTTTTGGATTCCGAGAGCAAGACGCAGACGACGGAGTGAGGGTTCTGAGAGTTTCTAGGGTTTTGTACTGAGCGAGTAATGAGGTGGTTCAAGAAGGAGGAAAGTGAGAAATGTTTCAGCTATCAGTTCCGGGCTTTCTTACACCAACGGTTCGAACCCTAGTCCGAGCAGTTGACACGCACTCGCGTTACCCCAACGCACCAACTAAATGTACTTTTGAGAAAATTATTTTTAAAATTAATCACTGGTAAAAATATAAATAAATTTTAAAAATTTATTTAAAATGCTTTTTATGATAAATATATAGCTAATGTTTTTTGCCCGGATCATTTTAAATACTTTTAGAATTTAAAAATATTTATTCTAAAAGTATTTTCAGTTATTTTAAGAATATTTTTAAACGAGCCAAAAAACTATTTTTTGTTCAAAAGCATTTTAAATTGCAAATTTTTAAAAATATATGTGTTTTCTTAATCTATATTTTTTCTTAATGCTAATTATTGTCAAAAAAATTTTGATGGTTTGAAGCTTTTAGTTATTTGAAAAATACATTCAGATGGACTCTTAACTTATTGGTAAATTGAATAAATAAATTGTAACAAAAAAACTAGGCTTAATTTTGCAATGGTCCTAAACTTGATTCCGAATTTAATTTTTGGTTTAAAGTCCAGTATTAATTTTTTCTGTACTTTGATTTAACCATGTATTATATCGTTGGTTCTTTTTACTAACTTTATCTATTTTTCTGTTCAATCTCACTCACGTACATGAGTTTCTCACATTTTATGAACAATATTAGCCCATAAATTGACGAACAAATAAAGTAATTATTGTATTAAATACATGTAGTATGATAACAATTATATAAATCAATGTTACGGTCTGAGTCCGAGCTGCATACAGATCTACAGTAGAGGCATTCACATCATAGAGTAAATTGATTATACGGTTCAGTTGGCCTTCGGGTTCAGAGTAATGATTTATAAGGACAGTCAAGGGTAATTGAATTTCAATTAGAGGTGAAATTCTTGAATTTATGAAAGACAAACAATTACAAAAATGTTTGCTAATGATATTTTCATTAATTAAGAACGAAAATTAGAGACTCAAAGACAGTCACATACCATCGAATTTCACCTTAAGGCTCTGCCAACCCAATGGGCTTTGTGATGTCATTTATGTTTCAGGCCGATGCCCCTCTCGAAGGAGGATCCTCTCAGAATCCTCTTTGCAAGAATTCTCAAATCGTGTTCGTTTAACGTACATCGGTCAATTTTAGTCAGTTATTGTTTATGTTTAATTTTAAATAAAAATATTTAAAATGATTTTTGACCGAACAATGAACGATGAAAGAACACGATATAAGAATATCCTAAATTCTCATAGAAAATATCCGAAGAGGATCCTCATTCGCCCCCTCTGTACCCAAAAAACCAATAAATAGATCCGACCGAATATCCAAAATCCAAAAACAGTTACGTAATATCTTTACACATGAACGGTTGGGATCGGTCAAAAGGAAAACCAGAACACGTGTCCGTCTCTCATTCGTCCCGGTTGCAAACCGTAGATTCAGAACTCTGTATCGCGAATTCAAAAGACGTCACGAGATAGAAGAACAGAAAGAGAAACAGAGATAGACATTTGATACAGATTTTCCGATCGCACAATCATCGACATTCTTGACCAATTTGAAGATTCGGAATCGCTGGTCCGGCGAGGGCTGGCTTCGTAGATGCAATCACGGCTCTAATCAAAGCAATCACCAGTATTAAGATTTCGAGAGGCAGCAGAGAATGCATGAGAGCCTTCACTAATTCGCTGCTTGCATGCCCTTCGTTTCACGGCGGTCGCGGTGCCCTACCATCCGCCGGTGGGCATCCATCCGATCTCACCTACCTTGCCGGCGGCGGTTGCTTCTGAAAACGACGACCGCCTGTGTTTCCCCTTCTGGGTTTTGAGTGTACTTCGTTTTTTATTAAGAAGTAATCAATGGTTACGGTTAAGCAGCTTCAAGATGGTAACTTTACGTCGCAATTCCCTCCATTTTCTCTGCAAGGTTTGTGATTTTTCTTGCTTTTGATTTGATGGGTTTGAATATTTCTGATTGAATTTGACTGGGTTTTATCTGCATTTTATTTATTTTTCTTACATTTGTATTGTTCATGTTGTTTTTCAAGGATCAATCGGTTTATATATTCAGAAGGACTTCAAATTTGTTGCTTTTGTCTTTCCCATGGATTTTTTCGAGTGTTGATGAAAGAATTTTCACAGGTATAAAAATCCCCTTGTATCGTTTTAGTAGCAATTCGATACTGGATAATGGTTGTGTTGGAGGCATTTCGTGTGTGGTCGAAGAAGAAGGAGGAGAAGAAGGAGAAGAACAGAGTGTATTGGATTCTATTCTTCTTGCGCAGGTACAGTTCATTACAAACTATAAGTTATAACCTTGACAGTTTTAGACTTTTGTCCTTGATTTATGTGTTTTTTCCCAATTTGGCAGTGGGAAGATCGAATGTGGAAAGGTCTGTTCAGATACGATGTGACAACATCTGAAATCAAGGTCTTTGTTACCCTATAGCCTGGTGATTCTTGTAACATTGATGATTTAAGTAAAGGCACTTATAGTTGGAGATGATCCATGGCTTGTGCAGGTCATCGGTGGCAGGAAGAAGTTTATTGCTCAGTTTAACGAAGGATGGAGTAGGGATTTTATTCCAAGGATGGGCAAGAACAAGAATTTCCGCCAAGAAGATGCATTCAAGTTTAGTTGGATGGAGCGGCAGGAGGAGCTACTCTTTTGTGTTTCAAGCGGTGAAAAGTCGAACCCTGAGCTTGTTCTTTCAGCTGCCGTGCCTGATTGTGCCTTATTGATTGCTATCAATGTAAGGCACTGTTTATCTATTTTGTTACCTGGAATGGTCATAAGTTGATTATCATCTATTCGAAATGTCACCTCAGATGATGCAAACTGGTGATTGTTCAGTAGCCATACCAAATGATCTTAACCATGCAAAGTGTAGATGTTTATTTGTCTTTTGATTTTATATTTTCTTGACATGTAGACGCAGAGGCGTTAGAGGCTCTTAGTATGTGATGAATTGTTTTGAAGACTTAAAGTTTTGTAGATATCCTGAAAACATGTATCGAGGTAGGAAATAATCAATTCTTTGCTTATTTTTCAGGCATCCCCCGTGGAATATGGTCATGTCTTGTTGGTACCACATGGCTCTAAAATTATTCACCAGTACCTCGATAAAAGGTCATTGGAACTTGTCCTGCGCATTGCTGTTGAAATAAATAATTGCTCTTTTCGCCTATTCTATGACTATTCACCTAGTGCTTCTCCTTTATATTTCCAGGTACAGAATGGCTTATACTGGTTCCTTTTCTTCTTCTTTTTGCAATTCAGATCAAAACTTAATTTTTCTCCTTGCAATAATTAAAAATACAATTGCGTGCAGGCTTGCTACCTTCAAATCCCTTTGCCTATTGAGTTCATGCATTTCGATACAATATTTGGTGCTGGGAAAGAGGGGATGCGCATCTCTTGTGTTGCAGATTACCCCATTAAGACCCTCGTATTCGAGAGCAACCACTTTAATACTATGATGGAGGTTCTTGCTGAGATATGTTCGTGTTTTCAGCAAAAGCTCATTCCATACAATCTGCTAATATCTGATCATGGCAAAAGGATATTCTTATTTTTCCAGGTAAATGGCTAATGGTTTTATTTCAGCTGAAGACCTCATCCATGTAATTTATTGTGCGTGTTCACTCTTCACTGTGACAGTGGTACAACGAATATCTTGCTTGTCTATAAAATACGTCCACAGTTGATTTGCGTACTAACGAATTTGTTTTATGCAGCTACATACATTAAAAGACTCTTGTACCCTTTCTGCTTGGGAGTGTGGGGGGTATTTCTTGTTTAAATCGAGGTCTGAATTTGATCAAGCTACTGAGCAGGCTCTGCTAAAACAGCTAAGTACCGTCTCCCTTGATGACAAAGGTTTCCAAGCAGTGAAGTTGCTCTGTTGCAGCATTGCGGGTAAGTTTGTATGTTGAATTTGGGAGCTGGATTATTGCCCGTGTTGCTAAATAACGAAAAACAGAGTCGATGAAATTCTGTATTCCGATGAAAGTGTACAACTCTGTAATCTGGGATGAAATGAAGTGTATATTTTTCTTATTAATGTAAAATCTATTGATGTATGATATGATTCCGAAAAATCATTTATTCGCTATGGAACCTCTACTTTCCCTAAACCCTTGACATGTCCAAGATGGGTCACAGATTGACGGATTTGGATCCTCTCCTGGGCCAATGGAGAGGATCCAAATCCCAGATTGACATCTAGTTATCGTTACCTCGGACTATTGCAACATGGAACCTCTACTTTCCCTATATGTCCGAGATGGGTCACATATTGACATCTAGTTATCGTTACATCGGACTAATGCAACGGTTGGTGGTGTCCAGTTCAGGGAAGTCATCATAGACCGGCACTTTACCTTCTTCTCTTGTAGTGCTGAGAAGAGTTTGTGGAACTTAAATCTGGCTTCTAACATGTTACAGATTGCAAGGTTTTTCATCCTCTCATATTAATATGTGCACATGATTGACAATAGCAGTCGAGATAGCGTATGTGCTCAAAAAGTCCCTTTCTTTTCCTTTGGTATTGGGTTAGGTCAGTTAGTCATGATAGTATGCCCGCTTCAATGCACCCCAATTCGAAATTCCAGTTAGTCATTTTTCTAAACAATTTTTTGTCTCCTTGTGATATGGTAACAAGGCAAATTTCAAAATTGCCCCAAAACCTCAAAGCAATTACATGAAGTCTTATGAAGAATCTCAATATATATATAACATAACTTCAAATAATATACAGCTACATAAAACAATTATGAAAGAATTATAGTGGAATAATATAGTGAATACAATTTCACTTCCTCAATTTTCATGCCTCTCACCTCCGTCTGCAGATTCATCGGATTCTCTTGTGGTAGACTTTCCGCTGCAACCGGCCTCTTCATCAAAACTCGGAGCTCCTTCCTTCTCTTCTGCTTCTCCCCCGAAAGCCTGACTACTTGTAAAAGAATTGTCTCCAGCATTGGTACGCATCCACGGTTCGTGGAGTTGCAAGGCATACTCCAAGTGCCACAGAACTTCCCCCATTGTTGGCCGGCTCTTCCCCTCATCAGCGAGACATTTCTCCGCTATCTCCCCAAACTTCTTCAGTGCCTCGGGACAATAATTTCCTTCAAGACGATGGTCAATGATGGTCTCAAGGGACCTCTTTCGTTGCCACATCATTGCCCACTCTGCAAGATTGATCTGATCTTTTGGCAAGGTTGGGTTTATAACAGGCCTAGCACAAACAGCTTCAAACAGCACTACACCAAACGAGTAGACATCAGATTTCTCTGTCAACTGCTGTCGTCGATAATATTCAGGGTCAAGATATCCGAAGCTTCCTTTAACTGCAGTACTAACATGGGTGTGGTCCAAAGCCGGACCTGTTTTAGACAATCCAAAGTCGGACATTTTTGCAACAAAATTTTCATCTAGCAGTATGTTGGTTGTCTTAACATCCCTGTGAATTATTCCCCTATCTGCTCCAGTATGAAGGTAATGGAGTCCTCGTGCAGCACCAATGCACGCTTCTAGTCGTTGCTTAAAAGTCAGCGGTGGGAGATCACTCCCAAAGAGATGGCTTCTGAGGGTCCCATTTGCCATGTACTCGTAAACCAAGATCATCTCATTTTGTTCTTCACAGAATCCAATCAATGACACCAAATGCCTATGCCTGAGCTTCGAAAGCATCTCAATCTCCGTCTCAAATTCTGCCAGCCCTTGCTGAGATTGGGGGTTGGCTCGCTTGATCGCTACGAGAGTGCCATCATCAGTCTCCCCTTTGTACACCTTACCAAAGCCTCCAAGTCCAATCACTAAACTTTCATCAAAATTATTCGTTGCTGCACGAATCTCTGGTAACATGAACCGCTTGCCAGCTCTGACAGAGCCCACAGAACCATAAGGATTCTGGCTTCCTGCCCCCTTGGCATTGACATTGCTGTTTAAAATGGAGCCATTAAGGAATAACGGCCTCCACCGAGCGGGGGTGTTTTTCGTGTCACTTGATTTTCCTCTGAGTCTATTGCAGAAACAGTAAATGACAATGGCAAGAATGGCAACAGAAGCTATACCTGCTCCAACTCCCACCCAAAGCATTTGATTTTTTGAACTCCGTGGTGAAGTAACACCTGAATCATACTTCTCAACATAAGCGAGATTCCCATTTCTACTGAGCTTGAAAATCTCCAAGCCATTCAAGAGAGCATCAGTTCCTGCAGCCCCAGCTGCTGTGTCAGGACCCAATTGAATCCATAGTGTGTCAACTTTCGGAGACACCACATCAAAAAAGTCCTGATGATACGCTTTGTTCTTGCCCCCCGCACGGACAAAAACATTGAAATTATCTGCTGCAGTCCTGTTGTTTATGTAAATTCTGAAGATCCTTTCGTTTGCCTTGTCAAAAATCAGCTCACAGAAATGCAGTCGAACTAAATAATCGAAATCAGGATGAACTTCAAACTTCCACGACATGTTGAACCTTTTCTCCAATACTTCAGTGTTGACCATAGTTCTTGCAGTTTCATATACAAGAAGAGGCGCCACCGAGGAATCATTTGCGGATGAAAAGGTAATCTTTGAACTGTTATTGATTTTCAACCCGGCATTTTCTGTGATCATGTAGCTCGAATCCACTTCCCATGTTCTCCAAAGATCTGCATCCTGACCGGGATCAATTTCCGAACCCCCAACATTCAACCTATACATAGTCTCAATCCCTCGCCAACTTATACTCTGATTTGCACCATTTCCACCCACTTTACTAACTGATCCTGCAAAGAGTGTATCCACCGCCGGAACAATTTCAATCGCATTTACGAATCCAAATGACCCCTTAACCGGGATGAACTCCAAAACAAGTACATCCTCTTTGATGGCCAAAATGTACTCCTTAACCAAGAAAGAAGTTAAATTGCTCCCTGAACTCAACAAGTACGCATTTTTTCGCGATATCTCACCCGAAACACTGAATTCAGACACCAACTTCAGACCATTTGCAACAACTCCAAATCTAGATTCATTCACATTGTAATGATCAAATGGGAAAGGACAGAAATGGAGCCTAACAAAATAGCTCCCCCGTGTACCTGGGAACGAGTAGTTCAAGCCACCATCGAAAATTCGCGCCGTAACGTACAGCGGCTCGTAAGTTGTTGAATCAACACTTGAGGGAGTTGTGGATGCAGCATTCGCAGGGAGCTGAGGGTGATGTTGTTGTTGGGGGCTAAGTCACCAACCCATTTCCTACCACTTACAGTGATGCTGGAATTTGTGCCACAATTTATCAGAAAAGATTTTGATTGAGCTTCTGCAATCCTTGCAAATGCAGAGAAAATCACCAGAAAAAGCAGCCCAAAAATCTCCCTGACCGGAAGCGCCATCACCAAATTTCTAAAAGTGGTATCTTTCAGTGAAAAGAGAGGTCCCAATGGAAAAACAAGAACAACCCAGTTTCCAGAAGAGCTCAAATTATACTAAAACCATGAAAAACCCCAACTTTTAATTTCTCAAATTTTAACAAAAATTTGAGAAACCCCATCAAAGTTTCACCTTCATCACTCATGTTTTTGCATTTGAATTTCCTTGTTTAGAAACATGCCTGCCATGAAGAAAGACTGGTTTTTCTGCAAATTTATATTGCACTCTTGTAGATCTGAAGCAAGAAAATATGGAGGGCAAAAAGCAAAGAACTGTCACAAAAGGTGGCAAAACTGACAAATTTCTTCATCAGTGAGACTAACCAAGGAGAAAAACAGGAGAAAAGAACGTGAAAAAAGGATTACAGCAAAGAAGATTGCAACAAAAGGTGGCAAAGGTGACAGATTTCTCCACCAATGCAACCGAAAATTCAACACAACAAGAAAAAAAGCTTGCAAAAAAAAAAAAACAGTTTTTGCTTCAGCAATGGTGGGTTCTATCAGAATAAAGAAAACAAAAGAAGAAGGGGGAACATGGATTGCTGATGAACAGATTGGAAAAGTTTAATTCATCTTTTGCTTTGTCCTGTATATTTCCCCAAAAGGAACCAGGAATCTGACAAGTGACAGCATTAAATTTCTGCACTTTATTACAACATTTAAACTCTTTAAAATTTTAAATTGTAACTGCTGCAACAGGTGGTGTTTGTTAATGCAATTTTCATTTTCTGGTCAAGTTTTGTTTTTTAATTTAAATTTGTTCAAAGTATTTATTATTATTTTTGTTAATTTAGTGAGTGAGAATTTGTAGCAGTTGGCAGCCTGAGATGGGGTTCCATTATTCATGAAGTGGGTCACATGCTCATGTCTGGAAGATGACAAACATTTGCAATAATATACATTGTATTTATTCAATTATTGTTCTTCTAGAAAATTTTCAATGTGCCAAAAACATTTCGACATATTAAGTATAATAATATAATTTGTTAGACTCTTGAAAAAAAAAATTCAACAATTGTATTATGATATTTGATGTGCAGAGTTGTGTTTCCAACGCATTTAAAATTTTCTCATTCTTATGGCATATTTCTATTCTACCTCTTGTTCTCGAGAAACTTAAGTCATGAGACATTATTTATTTATGTACTATAATATAAGTTGAAATTAGCGTATATAGTTAATATTAATAATAGATAGATTTTTGAGTTATAAACTTAAACGTAAGGAAAATTCATTCCTACCGAAAAATATTTGAAGAAATTGTTAATATCCCATGATATCGTGAAATTCGAACCGAAAACTTCTCTTTGTTTTATACTTATCAAAAGCGTGGTGTTATTTGCACATTTATTTTTATTGTGTTTGTACCAACCAATCCCGAAACTACTAAGCACCGGTCAACAGCATACCGTCAAGGACTCATAAGACTTTTCCTCCAACCAGGAAGTCAATCACAGCACGACACATGTCGGTATCAGAGGCCAATCATAGTGCGACACGTGTCGATATCAGAGGCCAATCACAACACGACACGTGTCAATGTCAGAACAAAGCTAGAAACTCTCTTTTATAAAAGGGGATCATTCTCCCACAATAATCTCTAATGTCATTTGTACTAAATTATTCACTAGAACCCACAAAAAGAGAGTTTGAACCTATGT